AACTCTGTCAACTCTGTGGCTGGGCTGTGTGGCTGTCCTCCTCTTGTCCTCGTCTTGGCCGCCTCTTGTCCTGCTCTTGGCCGCGCCCCTGAACTCTGTCAACTCTGTGGCTGGGCTGTGGTTGGGCTCTGTGTCCAGGGCTTGTCCTCCTCGCCGCGCCCCTGAACACTCTGTGGCTGGGCTCTGCGCAGGCCTTGTCCTCCTCTCTGGCTGTGGGTGGGCTCTGTGGCTGGGCTCTGTGTCCTCCAGAACTCTGTCAACTCTGTGGTTCTGTGCCCAGGCCTTGTCCTCCTCCTCCTCCTCCTCCTCCTCCTCCTCCTCTCTGGGCTCTGTGTCCAGGCCTTGTCCTCCTCTTGGCTGCGCCCCTGAACTCTGTCAACTCTGTGGCTGGGAAGCTGGAAGAGAAAGAGAGAAGAGAGAGAGAGAGAGAGACAGAAAGAAAAGACAAGAAAAGACAAGAAAAGAAAGAAAGAAAGACAGCAGGGCGAGCGCGCGCGCTCGTGTGCTATGGACGGCGCGATCGGGCGCGCTCTGACATACGCTCCGCGCTCAGAGCGCGCTTTGCAGAGAGGAAGACAGAGAAAGAGAAGCTTAAAGAGAGAGAGAAAGAGAGAGAAAGAAAGAAAGAAAGAAAGACAGAAAGAAAGACAGCAGTGTGCTCTGGACGGCGCGCTCACGCTCCAGAAAGGCGCTCTTACAGCGCTCTGCAGAGAGAACTCGTGTGCTCTGGACGGCGCGCTCACGCTCCAGAAAGGCGCGCTTACAGCGCTCTGCAGAGAGAAAGACAGAGAAAGAGAAACTTAAATAGAGAGAGAGAGAGAGAGAAAGAAAGAGAGCAGGGCGAGCGCGCGCTTGCGCGCTCGTGTGCTATGGACGGCTCACTGGGCTCTTGTCCTCCTCTTGTCCTCTGTGCTGGGCTCTGTGGCTGGGCCTTGTCCTCTTCTTGTCCTTGTCTTGGCCGCGCCCCTGAACTCTGTGTGGCTGGGCTCTGTGTCCGGGTCTTGTCCTCCTCTTGTCCTTGTCTTGGCCGCGCCCCTGAACTCTGTGGCTGGTCTCTGTGGCCCGGCTTACTGGAGAGGAGTGTGGCCGAACAAATGGCGATGTCAATGCCAAAAATTCATTGATGAAACAGTTTGTTCTTGGGGTGAAAGTAGGCGTACCAAGAAATTGATTTTTGACTAATATTGGTCTAAGCGAATCGCTTTGAAGCTGTTTGGGGCCGGGTCTATGCTAGTATAATTGTTTGAAAGAAATTGCGTATATGGTAGTAATTCATGTAGTCGGGTCATGTGCAAACTTTCCACCTCGTTGTTGAGGCTGTTTCAATATTTGCAATGAAGCCGATGATTTGTACATACTGATCATATTGAGATTGCTGATTACCTTGCACGTTGCCAGAACTTAAGACGGAACCTGCAAATTGGATAGTTTGGATAGCTGTGATCGTTGCTTGTTGCAGGGAACGCGCAAAAGGTCCTTTAAAGCGACTACAGTAAGATGACGTCCTGCCCACTGCCCACGCATGTGAATGCGTTTGATCAGAGAAAATGAACCCTAACCATTCGCAAATTTTACTCCCTCATGACTCCAACTTTGCAAGTAGTTGTGAGTTGCGTGTGCATAGATTCGGCGCCAGTTCCTAAATGTGGCAAGTTTGACCCGCATCACAATTCAATTGTTGCCCAAATGTTGCATCATCACAGCTCTTGGGGAACACATGAGGAATACAGTACAAACGCAACTCGTTTTGAAGTGTCAGATTTGATGGTGCCGGAGTGAGGTTTCCTTTGATAAGATCGCGGCCGCTGCTGCTCCTGCAACAACTTGGGCAGCAGATGGCATGATTGACACACCTGTGGCGGAGTGGCGCCCCGAGCCGCCATATCAGTCCAAGCAGTGCATAGAAGATCATTGCATTGGTTTCATGTACTGGCCATTTGTTTGCATCACGCTTGCAGTGTTAACTTAGGATTGTTGTGCTGCCTCTTACCCTCCTGTCTGGAATGGGTTGGCTCATGCTTCAAAGAGCTCACTGCTGGCCCCAGTAATGAGACACACCCGAATGGTTCTCGATTGAATACTTTCGCCATACGAACCTGATACATCATCATTGCCGCTTATTTGTCAGGATAGGGGCAAATGGGTGCAAACGGTTAAACATATGACGGGCACATGCATTGTTGCACAAAAATGGACAAATAGGTGGCAATTGTTGTCGCCATTGTAGACCAGCCTCACAGAAATTGACAGCCGGCACACTGCGGCATCTATTTGGGTGTTGTTGTGATCAATTCTCGCATTGTCCGCAATAGTCGTGACAAATGCTGCATGCCTTGCTTTCATCTCCCTCCAGTGTGGTGTTGCTTGGGCTTTGCCGACCATTCACTACAAGACATGTTAGTTGGCCTCCTTTTGCTTTCAGTCTTCGTGCTTTGCTTAAGAGATGATGTTGCAGGTGGTGCAGTTTTGTTTTCTTTACTTTGGCATTTCTCCACGTCTCCCTGTCCTTCTCATCGCCATGCACTACTTATGCCTATTCCATGGAAGCTCCTGACGTTTTTTGCAGCTCTTGGACCTCATCCCCACCGTGTCATGACCCAATCCCTCCACCAGTGTGATGTTTTGTACATTGTTGTTGCTAGCTGCTAGAGTCTAGAGCTAAGCCGGTCGAAGTGTGGTGTGAGCACGATTAGCTGCAGCGTTTGGTAGATCATCATACTGTCTATATACATTTGTGACGATTTGTGGTTCACCTGTTACTGTTTAGGCCTTAGCCTGCTGAAGTGGAGAGGGTTTCCACGACTCAGACGCAGCCAAACGATCCACAGATGCAGGATTGGTGTGATTGTAGTTGGAAATGTCTCTCGCCGTGTTGATTTAATGTGGTGCCGTTTTTGCGCTCTTTGTGTTGCTGTTGTCCACGAGCTTTTATATTGATGTTCGGCTACTTGCAGGAGTTGGAGCTCTTAAAGCCAAAGATGCAAGAGCAACATCGACTAGAAGAGGTTCTAGATGAGTGTGCACCTTAGAGTTTCTGGGCTCTTGGAGCAGCCAGTTCCCTAATCGAGCTTCACACGACTTTCGCCCAGCTGCTAGCTGCAGCCCAAGTGTGGAGAAGCAATGCGATCTCAGGTGCTGGTGAGGCATTTGAGAAGTTAATGGTTTTGTCGTGCGCGACTTGTTGTGACGGGCAGAGTTAAGGGATTGCAGCGCAGGGATTGCACACTGGGAATGATCTGCCTTGGAGCCTGGGTAGCCAAATCGCAGCAAGACGTGGCGGGACCTTGTGGGGCAGCCGATGGCAGCCGGGTCCGAAGGATGCCAGGCTGCAGAGACTTCCTTCACAGAGAACTTTTCAGATTGTCCTCGGACAGTGAGGCTTGGGAAAAATGCAGCATGGAGAGTTGACATTCGTGGATGTCCCACATCTGTCAGAATTTTAAAGGGAGGATGCTTGTCGCTCGAGTTCATGCCTCCAGCCAAATCAAACCAACTAAACCAATGGCCAATCAAAGACCCTATATAGTCAAACAAATGCATGCTAAATGCAAGAAAGTTCGGGCCACAGACTGTGGAATTATAACTCCCTTATTTCTGGAGGGCGGGGGACTGTGGGCGTGCAATTTGTTCTCATATCATAGTTATTTTATGAGGTCATCAGCTCATCTCAACAGACATCTCAACAGACCTGATTGTTCAAATAATATATAGCATAAACAACGTCGCAAAAAAAGGACTTCATACAATTCATAATTCGTCATAATAAAAAGGTTAGGATTATTTTACATGTTTTTCCTTCACGACAAAACCAAAAAAAACAACAATATTGGGTCATTAGACACTGATACCTTTTTTTTTAATGGTGCTAATTCTGATGGTGTAAGTTCAGAGGTTGAATATATGAGATGATATGACTACTTAAGGAGCAGGTCAAGAGATGCAGTTGAACTATATTTCTAATAGCGGTGTAAGGATTGGCAATACTGCTGGTTATTTAGCAATCAATGGATTAAGGAATGGAACAGATATACTGGATATCAATGGTGCTATTCAAATATTTCCTGCGGATCGAGAGGGGGGGGCGGGGACCCCCCCAAACCTGCTAGTCTTAGTTATATTTCATAGTTTCTTTTAAATACCAGTTTTGTTTGAAATATAGAATGTAAATTTTGTTTTCCTATATGTGTTGAAAAGATGTGTTTACTCATTATTTGTTTGTGCTATGTGTTTTTGATACTGTATTTGTTTTGCTGAATGTTTGTGTGTTCACTATATCTTTAGTTATTTTAAATCGCGATTTTATCGTGTTTTCGGGACGCCCGTGGTCCCCTGTTCTGTATTCTTTTGCGATACTTATGCAATTATTCGGCATTCCAGATGTCAATTCCAGGTGCCATTCTTTTAGAATGAGCTGGATTGCTGATCGCGGATCAACAAAGGTTATAAGAGCATTGTCCACATGTCGGCAGTTGGATTCTTGGCTGTGCCATATCATGTCACCGTTATGCCGCTATGCCGCTATGCACTCAAAGCCCTTGCTCATGAGTAGTCAGAGTAGTCATTGTGCTTGCTGAAGGCAGCAGCACCAGCGCAGTATTTCACGAAAGCCAGCCGATGGGCTAGGCTGAAGTTATTTCCTGCGAACGAAGCGAGTCTTTAGGGGGTGCGGAAAAGTACGTTAGCGTGCTGGTGTTTGTAATTTGCCAAGGATGTGATTTTTGGAGGGTTGGTGATGCACAAGGTGCAAGGTGAATGAGCTAGTGCATCATGTGCATCAGCAACACGCTCTAACGACACTATTTAGTTCATGTGTATTGAATGTCTGGGTGACATTCTATCCAGACTTACTGGTTCACGGTCTTAACGTGTGAAAGTCATAGCGGCATAATTAATTGGGGGTGTGATCGGCACTACTGTAATCCCAAGGGATGTGACTCTCACGTCCAGCCCTTTTCCCTTGAATCAGTGACCGCATCCGGATCAGACTGAGCAATGCTGTCAGGCATCTAGATCAAAAGAAAAAGAACATGATCAAACAAAAAGATGATCAAAAAAGTAATAATCCTGAGCAGGTCCCCTAGTCCTTTGGTCCCCTGCTCCATTCATCCCCTGGTCCATTGGTTTGCTGCGCTGCCCGGTTGCCTTGATCATTGCCTCACTTTATGAGTGCCCTTCATTGATGAGGCAATGCGGTGGTGTGTAGTTGTTCGATGGTGATGTATTTTGTGGTGCTTGGTTCGCTCTGGGGGAGGTGCTGCGCCCTCCACCCCAACCCCCTACAACGACAGATTTTCTAAAGGACACCAGGCACCCATTGCACACAACATATTGCACATGCTTGCCATGCTCGCTTAATCCTTTTCATTTTGTGTTGAAAGCATTCTTTCATTGTCCTGTGGTGAATGAGCCCTTCATTGATGGGGCATTAGGGTGTGTAGTTTTCGATGGTGATGTATTTTGTGGTGCCTTCAGCGTTTGGTGGCTTTTGTAGTTTGCAACCCCCTCCAGCACCACGAAATCTGAATTACTTTTGCCAATGCAGTTGGCTTGCCGCGACGGGAGTCTTAAAGGTCACCCATCGCATATCCACGCCAAATATTGCATGCTCTCGCCCTTTTCCTTGCGTTGTTCACTTGGAATCTTTTTCTTATACCTATTTTTTCTTGTTGATCCCCGTCGAATATCTTTTTAGTGATGCCATTCTTATTCCTTTTTGACCCTTCACCCATGCTGTCAAGCCCTGCCTTGCAAGGAGAACTCCTTGACCAGAATCTCCCAAATCATGCAAATCATGCCCTTCCATGGGCAATCATGATCAATCATGGACAGGTCTAGCAGGCAGTTGCTTCTGCTTTTCGTTTCCCCCTTCTCGGGTTTTTTTCCTTTTATATATAGTATCGTTTAATATCTTTTAATTTTGTTTTGCCAGTCATTTGTTTCATTGTACTGTGCTCTTTAGACCGCTCCACCCTACTCTAACCAAATCTTACCAAGAAAAACCGCAGGCGACCATGTCCAGTGACTTGGATGCCTCCGCGAACTTGCAGTTTGATGCGTCTATCCCTGGAGAGAGGTGGTTGTAGCCTTTGGTAGAACAGCAATGTTTGCAGCAAGCCGGTCTCCAGAAAATAGCGTTTGAAATAGCTTTCATATTACTGCTACTGGCATAAACTCGGCCAAACGAATGGCTTAGGATCGTATAGATACAAAACTCCAATCAAGTGTATAACTACCAAATGCCTTTGACCACAAACGCCAAATGTTACTTTGACAAATATGTATCTCGAACAATTGAGGTTTTGGAGCAGTGGCTGACAAGTGCAGAACATGTCAAGATAAACTGCGGACAACACTGAACACGAGAACTCCCCCACACCATTTCGAGGCCATTTAATAATCGAGTGGGTGTGAACAAAGATGATGACAGCAATGAACATGTTATGAAGGGTGACACTATGCTTTGATGCCAATGTGTTTTTTTGTCGAAAGCGATTGCAAAGTCTTGACAAAAGCATGAACAAAAGGATGGACATGTATGCGGAGGGAGTGCCAGGCCTATGACGACAACACCCTGATGCCTACAACCGGACAACTTTAATAAGATGCGAGCAACCCAGAACAGCAAAAAACAAAGGCTACAGTATTTAAATAAGCACAAGCCATTTTGCCATAGAAAGGTTATGGCCACAGAATTGAAGTTAGTCTAAATGTTGATGACCTTGACCGTGGAGCAAGCCGTTTAACTTCAACCAAAGTTATATAGAGATCTGACCGGTGGTGTCTTTGATGGAGGCAGGCAGTTGGCAGTTCATTTGCGGTGCAGACCTGTTTGATAGCCATGGCCGTTTTGCATATCATCAGGACATGGCAAATTGCACCAAAGAAACCATGCAGGTGTTTGGGAGATCGATTCGCTTGGCAGACATGGTTCAAGATCTATACTGTATATATATATACATATGTACTGCATATGAATGTGGATACTTTTCCTGCAAGAATCATCAAGTCCCGAAATAGTCGAGAAACCTTGCAATAGAACACCCAATAGAATGGAGCAATGTGCATGGTGAGCTGCTCAGATTCTCATCATCCTGGTGAACGGCCATGTGCCTTGAATGCAACAAGGCGTTCGTATGTGTTTCATGTCGCTGACTCGGCAAATTGAATTCAGCTGTCGCTGTGGGGTTGGTTCCCTCCCTGACTCCCTCTCCATCTCTCGTTTTCTTTTTCTCTCCTTCGCTTCTTTGCGTCTTTCCATCTTTCTCCACCTATATATTTAGAGTAAACATATGTAAATATATATATTTTTTGTAAACAATATGCATATAGAGTAGCAAAGACATCACTAACAATAGCTAGAAGCTACTAGTAACAAGGGCATCGATACTAGTAACAAGGACATCCTTGTCACGAAAGCTAGCTGTAGCTAGCTGGAGTCTGTCTTGCTTTAGCAAGGAGGGTGGGAGCCCAGGACCTGAGTGCTGTTACCTGATTTATCAAGACTATACCCCCCCCCCTCGCGGGGTTCAACTGCACCCTTCTCGTCCTCGGTACCTGCTGCTGCTGCTTGGTCGCTGCTGCTGCTGCTGGCTGGCATCTCATCTGCGCCTGGCTCCTGGCTCTTGGCTGCTTGCTGGTTGCAGCTGCTTGCTGCTTGCATGCTTAGTGCTGCTGGATGGATGCTCTTGGCTGCTTGCTGGTTGCTGCTGCTTGCTGCTTGCATGCTTGCTGCTGCTGGATGCTGGCTGCCTGCTGCTTGTTGTCTGCTCCGTTTTGCTGCTGTTGCTGTTTGGGGTTGTTGGCTGCTGTTGGTGCTGAAGAAAGCCTATTCGTTAGAATCGAGAGTAGTTGCATTCCCTTTGAGTCGTGAAACGATGCTAATTTCATTAGGGCTCCCTTTTTTTCACCCTCGAACAATGTTTTTTTCACCCTCCCTTTTTTTCCCACCCTTTGGAACCTTTTTTCCACCCTCCCCAAACCTTTTATTTTCACCCTGCACCCTTGTCATTTTCACCCTGTAGCATGTTTCTTTCACCCTTCACCTTGTTTTTTCACCCTTCACCCTTTCTTTTTCACCCTCGGCCCTTTCTTTTCAACCCTCCGCCGGTGAAGCAGGTATCCCATGGAACCTGCACAGAGAACGATGTCACCTCCGGTTTGTTTCACACCGCTTGCCCCTGCACCTGCCAAACCCTTTGTTTTCACCCCAATAGCTTCTTGTTACTAGCCCTTCGGAACCCTCCGGAAACTGCGTGGAGACTGTCCGGAACGACGGGAACCGCCGGAAACTGACCCGGACGCCTCCGGAACGTGAGGCAGCACAGGATCATACAGGATCCATCCATCCGTCCATCCATGCATCCATCAACGGAGTGCCAACCAACCAACCAACCAAGCAAGCAACAACGCGGCCAAGCCAACAAACCCACCAAGCAACCAACAAGCCAAGCAACCGAACCACATAACTCCGTGTTTTCCCCAAGTGCTGTAGGTACTAGAAATCCCGTGCGGGGGAGGCTTGGTTTGCATTGCAGGGGAGGCGCTGCGCCCTCCCCATTTACACAGCATCCGTCCATCCATGCATCCATCAACGGAGTGCCAACCAGCTGACCAACCAA